GTATATTAACCTTCAAGATCTTCTGAATTAATATATGAATTTGGGTCCAAATTTTTTTAGCTTTAATTACATATCCACCAAAGATGATAAAAAGTCCCTTCATGTTGTTCACATTTCCAACATATATTTGAAATCCCTTTGTTTTGTTTTGGATAGTCTTTCTGATGACAAATGCCATCTATACATCATTTTATGGAAATTCTCCTTCAAGTTATAACATAGTGTAAATTTTAACCCTTTCATCCACATATTTTCCCATTGTTCCATTTGTATAATATGTTCAACATTTTTAGCCCATTTTATCATATAGTCTTTTCATCTTCTGTTTCAAATCTCAACAAAAGCTTATACATTGTAGCAATAAGGTGTTCATCACTGGTACACAATTCAGTTTTGAAAGCAGCTTTGTTTTGTTCAAAACCATATATCTTTTTATCAACTTTAAATCTTTCTCCAAGTTGTACATATGAAAACCAGTGTCCTTGAAATGTCACATCCTCTCTTGATTTTATTTTAATTTCTCCTTGATGAATATCAAGGATATCGCCATAAATTAACCATTTCTGCTTAGTTACCATTTCCTTCCTATAAAATACTTCTTGTGGGGATAACCATAGGGGTATTCTTGGACACAGTCTAGGTGTGAACAGAATGTTTTGAGAACTCCAGAATGTTCTGTTTCCCTTCTGATCTGTGCTAAACCTCCCCTGGACCATGGTATTCCAGCAGGTGGTCATGAAGAAATCCAATACTGAGAAATCGGAAAATCCCAGAAGAAGGCAGTGGCAAACCACTTCCATATAGTTTCCAAGAAAACTGAATAGCCATCTCTCCATACAGCAGTCAGGAATCAAACTCAATTCAAGGGAGATTTTACTTATTTTGTATTTTGCAGTTAGATGTTTAAGAATTGAATGTTATATTTTCTGTGTTACTACGCATGTAAATATGGAAGTAGTTATGAAATTATGAAAATATTCAGCATAAATCAAGCTCAGCTAAGTCTGCTGCACCTAAAACAGACATAGTAATTGTGTGACATTTCACCAATTTCCTGTTTAGAGTCAGACCTGAAAATATTTAGTGCTTAAATTTTGTGCATTTCCTCTTCAGCTCTCAAGTGACCAAATAATTTGAATGTCCTTGAACAAAAATATAAATCTTTCCTGGAAGGATAACTCCTGGGGAGAGCAAACTTTTAATAGTTCTGAGCAAGTGAAAAAGAGCTATTTTCATAGAGTTTTACACCATAATGGGCAGAGCTTAAAAACTTTGTAATCCTTGGTCCTTTCTTTCCTTTCTCCTTAGGTTCAAAGTTCATCTGTAATCATCTCTCTTAGCTCTTTGCAGGCACAGAACCAGTTTTTGTTTTTCCCTGGATAGTTAAAAAACTTCACCATTCCCCTATTACAAAAAATGGGGAAACAGAAGTTCTGTTCGCTGCAGGGCAGGGAAATTAATGAAGGAATCAGAACATCAAAGTGATGGAAGAAGTTGTGGGTAGGATCATGTAAAACCTTCCAGCAAGATGTTTCAAACATGAGGGAATATGTATGAAGCAGCTCTTTTAAATCATTAAAGCAGCTGCTGCTTTTTCTAGATTTCAGCATAGCAAACTGGCATGCGTGCTTATCTGGAGACCTATTTCCAAAACAGCAATATGGATTTGGAAAAAGATATAGTTGCTATATTAAGTAGAAAAAAGGGCTTTGTATGTGTTCCCTCCTGTTTGAAGCACCTTGCTTGAAGGATTTGCATTGCGTGTACTCTATCTCCAAGTTATTTAGCAGTTCTAAAAGCATATGCTTCTTCCAGTGTACTTGAAATAGTGTTAATAAAGACCCATATTTTTGTGGCTTTGCTTCAAATGTTACATTAAGTTCTGTTTTGCATCTTTCCAGTTCCCCATTCTGGGGCTATATATTTGACCTTCCATCATACAAATAATTATGTTATAAATGTGCATATTAAATTTGATTTTTTTCACTTCCTAATTAATACATTACACCATGAGTTTCACCTTTGTTGTCCACTTTAAAAATGAGTTCAGGTGTGGTGCTGGGGTTCAAACCTGAAACATAGTGTGATTTTTTATTGTATACACAAGTTTTCTTCAATAGTGTCTTTTAGTGTGTTGGACTACAAGGACTAACATCCAGAATGGAAGTAATTTGCTGGGGGTATAGGTACTGTAGTCTGGTATACATAAAGAGTACCAATTTGGAGATAATGTGGTACAGTATACAATATACAGTATATAATGTACAATTTTTATACAATATTTTTTTGTTCAGTCGTTAAGTCGTGTCCGACTCTTCGTGACCCCATGAACCAT